TGGGGCAGGGATCGCCTGGCGGTTGGGGGGGGTGGCGGGGCGGCGGTGACTGTGGTCTTCACCAACGCACGCGACTGCTTCCTCCACCTGCCACGGCGCCTAGTGACCCAATTGCACCTTCTACAGGTAACGCGCCGGCCCCAGGGTCGGACGTGGTCAAGGTTTTTTGGGGACACGGTGGCCGCTTAGGCCTTCCCGCGGCGGGGCACCGGCTGCCTTACAGGTGCGGAACCGCGCGGAAGCTGCACAGAGGGCCCTCTGAAGGCAGGGCCGGTCTGGGCGGTCTCTGCATCACCCTGTGTCTTGCAACTCGGGGCAATTACTTGCATTATTCCAGGTCCTTCCACTCGTGAACCTTGGCTAACACGTAAACATCCTACTTCTGCGTTCAGGAACGTTCTTCTCTCCAGGTTGGAAACGCTCTTGACAAGTCGTTTCTTTATTAATGTGGAGGCCTTTATCCATTACATGCCCAAAGCACCTCTTAATTGAGAGCACCAAAAATGTCGCTAGACTTTGCCAGATGTCTCCTTGGGGACAAAATCATCCCCGGGTGAGAACTGTTGCTGTAACTCAGTTACCTTGTCGGTGCTAGGACACCTCCACAGTGAATGTAGACAAACGAATCCAAATCACCAGCCAGAAAGGGTCACCTACAGATTTGTCACTTCACTTGAGTTAGCAAGAGATACCCCATGCCTTAGAACTGTTTCTTTCTCTCTCTCTGGTCAAATTAAGTAGTAATAACAAGTGGAATTAATTAAATAAACAATTGGTTTGTAAAATAAATTGTAAAAGCATTCTCTTTCTGATATTACAGGGCATAGTACGTATTTCCTTATTTCACATATCTGGTTTTAAAAATGTCTTCATCTGAAATAGAATGGGTCTGAATTATATCTCACCGAGGGATGAAACCCGTGGAAAGACTCTGAGGGCTTGGTCATTTTCACTCTTGTAACCTGAGCTGCCACAGCAATGGATGAGATGACAGCTTCGAACTTTGGAATCCAAATGCAGAGTTCTCTTTTTACTTTATTAAACTTGAGTTGAAAGATTTTGTCAGCTAGAACAGTTGGACTGGTCTGTGAGAAAAATTACACACCTAATACGTGACACATTGTGACTTTTGCATAACACAGAATTTTAATTACCTTTTAATATCAAGGAGCATTCCAAGTACATTATTTTGCTTCAGAAGGTGTTCCAGGCTGATCAGGCAGCTGGATCCCACATGGCCGACTGCCGGGTTTGAGTTCCAAACCAGCAGCTTGGGTTGCCACGTGTGTGTGTGTGTGTGTGTGTGTGTGTACGCAAGTGTGCCCAAAGGGGTGTGTGTGTGCACAAGCATGCCCAAAGTTCCAAAAGGAGAGTAGAAGGGATTGTGTGGCATGGCCATTCCCCCTGGGAAATGCTTTGTCTCTGTCTGACAGGAGCACTTACCTTGTAGCAAATTAAAAAAATATATTGCAGAGATGTTTTCTGGTGTAATGTTTTTATCCCCCTTATTTGAATAATTAATTTAGAGTAAATGTTCAGAAAATTATATATGACTTAAAGTCTATTTAATTAATTTGGCTATTTGTTGCTGTTTTGAATTCTGTTACTTTTTAAATTTTTTTGAGAAGTTTTTGCTATAGGGCACGTGCACTCACCAGAAAGAGAGAGACAGAGAGACAGAGAAAGCGAGAAATCACCCCCTACGGAAGATGGCCACGCCACAATCCTCCATTCTCCTCTCGGGATCTTGGGCATGCACGCACACATGCCCCGCGTGAGTTTAAGCCACCGGGTCCAGGACTCGAACCGCAGTTGACTACATGGGAGTCCAGCGACATAGCCATTACACTAACTGCTGGTCTCACCATTTTGAATTCTGAAATGGTTGCATCAATTCAAAATGTTGTCATCAAATACAGGGTATTGGTTTCATCCATATTATCTCCAGCATTGGGTGTTGGAAATGATTATATCTTTTTTATTTTAAGGATTATTTATTATCATTGTTTTTCTATTTTAATCAGAGAGAGAGAGAAAGCCTCCAGGTCCCATATACAAACCACAGTCGGCCATGTAGGAGTCCAGCACCTTTAACCACCATTACCACCTGCCGGCCCCTGATGACAACTTTTAAAGGCTGTGACAGATTTGGGTAACAGCTGTCTGCTACCTGGGGAACTCTTTTTGAATGTGTGGATTGCAATAGTAGTTTATATGAATACAGAAAAACATCTTTTAAAAAAAGCCCTTATTAAAACCTTTTTTTTTTTCTCTTTCATTTCTTAAATGAATAGAATCAAGCTATAGAAGTAGTCTGGGGTCACCAGCCTGTATTCTTGAGCTGGGTGGAAGGCAGGCATTTCGGTGATCAAGGTGAAAATGTGGCTGAGATTAACAGACAAGTTGGTCAGAAACTTGGACTCTCAAATGGGGGACAGGTAAGCATAAAGTGTGATGACAGTGACTTTCTGGTAATGTCAAAAGATATAGCAATGGGCGTAAAATTAAAACTACAGGTTTTTGTTTTGTTTTTAAGGAGATGAGATGACACCTAACTTGTATGCCCTTATAACCAGTTTAGGGCATTTGAAGTTGGCGATACTTTTTCGTTGTCAAAAATCTTGTGGTTTACATTGTTCCTTGTTGAGTTTATATTTTACTCATTTTCCAGATTCTCTAATTTTGTTTTTGCAAAATTATTTTTTCTTTATGAAACTTCTTGGGTTACTTACTTACCTTTATGAAGACGTACTGGGTTTTATTTATTATTATTGAAATTTATTTCATTTGTTTCTAATATATTTTTTAACTTTCAAGGTCTAATTTGATTAAAAATAGGAATTTTACTGTGGAGGGTTATTAGTTTTTCTTTTCTTCCTTTTTTTCTTTTTTAATTTATAGTTTTGCTTTCAGGCACATGCAATCACCAAAGAGAGAAAGAGGGAAAATGAGAAATCATTCCTCCCCACCCCCCAAGTAGCTGGCCACACTGACATCTCCTGTATTCTCCTCCCTGAATTTAGTTTATGTACACACATGCCTGTTGTGATCTTCATGCTGCCAGATCCAGGACTCAAACTGTGGTATCAGCCATGTGGGACTCAGAACCTTAACCTCCACACAACTTGCTAGCCCCTATTTTTCCTTTGTTGTCTTGCCTAAGAATTTAGATAAACCCCAAAGCTTAAAGACTCCCGTCTATTTTATTTTGTGGTGGTATGTTCACCAATTTATTACTTTTTAAATTGTTTTAAACTATAGAAGTAATGGATAGTCACTATAAATACTTTATAATTGAAAATAAAAAACAAAGTTTGTGAGGACCAGCAGATGGTGTTACGTTGCTGGACTTCCACATGGCCAACTGCAGTTCAAGTCCTGGACCCAGTGGCTTGAAACTCATACCAAGCATGTGTGTGTGTGCATGCCCAAGGTCCCGGAGGGGAAAATGGAGGAGAAGGTATTGTGATGTGGCCATCTCCCTGAAAGAGTAATTTCTCACTTTCCCTCTCACTGTCTTGGTCTTTCTTTCTTTGTGGCAAGCACACTCGCCCTAAGATACAGACCTCTAAAAAATAAATAATTAAAATAAGTTTTCTCCTGTCTCCATCCCAGTTTCAGAGTGAATGTTTACTGTCTTGTGATTTTACTTTTAACTCTGAAGGTTAAGCTTCTAAATAATTGTCTCTGCTCTCTATTTCAGTGTATTTTTTGTTTTTCTAGAAGCATGGCTCAAAGTTAGTTAAAAAAAAAACCCTAACAGTTGCAGGACCAGCATTTAGTGTAATGGCTATGTCACTGAACCATGTAGTCGACCGCAGTTCGAGTCCTGGACCCAGTGGCTTAAACTCACGCTGGGCGCATGTGCGTGCCTGTGTGCCCAAGATACCAAGAGGAGAATGGAGGAGAAGGGATTGTGGCGTGGCTATCCCCCCTGGGGGGTGATTTCTCACTTTCTGTCTCTCTGTCTCTCTCTGTCTTTCTGTCAAGCACATGTGCCCTATAGCAAAAATCTCTCAAAAAAAAAAAAAAATCCTTAACAGTTGCAAAACTTCCAGAAATAATGAGAGTAGTAGTTATGTGTTAAATCAAGCCATGACTTCATGACATTGCCATTTCTTCTTGACTATTTTATTTATGTTTCTTTTTTTATGATTGTCTTTATTAATTTTTGGGGGGAAAAAAACCAATGTGCTAGAATGAATTTATCTTTATTCTCTAGTAGGTTATGAACCAGTTTTTCCTAAAATGCTGAATATATCAAGGCCTACCTAAGAAAGAGTACTTAAAAAGTATTTGCCAGATGGGACCAGCAGATTGCATAGTAGATTTCTCGCTGGACTCCCATGTAGTCAACTGCAGTTTGAGTCCTGGATCCAGTGGCTTAAACTCACATCAGGCACATGTGCGTGCGTGCCCAAGATCCCAAGAGGAGGGAAGAATGGAGGAGAAGGGATTGTGGCGTGGCCATCCCCCCTGGGGGGTGATTTCTTGCTTTCTGTCTCTTTGCTTCTCTTTGTCATTCTGGCAAGTGCGTGTGCCCTATAGCAAAAATTCTCCAAAAAAATGTATTTGCCAGAAACCTGATGGTAAGCACCATGCTCCACAAGGCAGTTTCACATGGGAAGGTTCCTGGTTCAAGTTCAGAGACTTCCCTGAGATGCCAGGCACATGCTTGCCCATGATCTGGGGCTAAATGAAGGCCGGGATGAACCATGTCATCAGGACCTTGGTGTTCTCTTGGGGGTTCTCTCTCTCTCTCTCTCTGTGAATAAATAAATAAACCTAAAAAAATTAATATATCGCTTGAAAGACTATATGCATATATAATTATCTACCTAAAGAAATAACGTATTTTTTACATATATGGAAGAGTCTTTTAAAAGTATTTTATAATTTTTCATTTTTTCCAGGTGTTTCTTAAGCCATGTTCCCATGTGTTATCTTGTCAGCAAGTTGAGGTGGAACCCTTGTCAGCAGACGATTGGGAGATACTGGTAAAGGAAACACACTAAGAACTATCCCATTTTAAAGTTAAACAGCCTCAACATATCAGTGTATTTGAATTTTTCTTTTCTGTGCTTCATTTTATATTCTGAGTTGGTTTGAGTTATAAGAATGAATTGGTAGAGAGCTAATGTACAACATGAAGACTGTAGGTAATAAATTGTGTTGTATTTTGGATTCCTACTAAATGAACAGGTTTTTAACTGTTCTCGCCACAAAAACAAACAGGGTAGCTGTGTGAGATGATGGCTACATTTAGTTATTTCTCTGTAGTAACCTTTTTTCTACTATCCGTATGTATCCTGTAACATCAAGTTATATACTTTAAATATACACGATACATTTTATTTTTTTAAAAAAAGAAAAGGAATGCATTGATCTTTATCCTAGACATAGAATGGACAGAATGTCAAGTAAATTGATCTTTTTGTCTGTTGGTTCTAGGAGCTGCATGCTACTTCCCTCGAACAGCATCTTCTAGATCAAATTCGAATAGTTTTTCCAAAAGCCGTCTTCCCCATTTGGGTTGACCAACAGACGTACATCTTCATCCAGATTGGTAGGTGTAGTACTATTTGCTGTCACGCTCCGGTCCACTGACGCGTGCTGATGAGCTCTCTTCTCTACACAGTTGCATTAATGCCGGCCGCCACGTACGGAAGGCTGGAAACCAACACCGAACTCCTCATTCAGCCAAAGACACGCCAAGCCAAAGAGAGTACATTTCCAGAAGCAGATGTGTGTGGAAAATTTCATAGCTCTGAAAGACACCAAAAAGGAATGGCAAAAGAACTTCAAACCAAGCGACATTGGTCAAGTCCTCTAGGAGTTACTGAGCCTAATGAAACAGATTCAGAAGTTCCAAATGACTCCTCATTGATACCAAACTTATGGACTATGCTAGGAAGCATTTTTTCTTTTGGATCTGAGAAGAAAGAAGAGACATCCTGGGGTTTAACTGAAATCAGTGCATTCAAAAACATGCAGTCCAAGGTGGTTCCTCTGGACAATATTTTCCGAGTATGTAAATCTCAGCCTCCCAGTATATGTAATGCAGCAGAAGCGTCTGTGTTTGCCAAGCACTGTGCCATTCATGTATTTCCATGGGACCAGGAATATTTTGATGTGGAGCCCAACTTTACCGTGACCTATGGAAAGCTGGTTAAGCTACCGTCTCCAAAGCAGCAGCAAAATAAAACAAAGCAAAATGCCCTGTCACCTGAAAAAGAGAAGCTGGTGTCAGAGCCTCTGGATCAAAAACAGACTAGCTCGGATCATAGTCAAGAAGCTGGTAAGACTTGTGTGCTAAGGGTAGTCTGGAATGGACTGGAAGAATTGACAAATACCATAAAATACACCAGAAATGTAGAAGTTCTTCATCTTGGGAAAGTCTGGGTTAGTATCAGTTTGACAATTTTAGGGGGAAATTTGTTTTGCTTAAACTCCTCCAAATTATGAATTAGAATAAATGTTTTTGCTTTGTTTTGTTTCTTTTAGCTAGAGGGCATGTGCACTCACTGGGGGAGAGAACGAAGGAGGGAAAAAGTGAGATATCACCCCCCCAGGGGGGTGGCCACGCCACAGTGCCTTCTCCTCTTCTCTCCTCTCAGGATTATGGGCATGCACACACTCATATCCTGTGTTTTTTTCAAGCCATTGTGTCAGGTACTCAAACTGCATAATCAGATATGTGGGATCCAGCCCCTTCAGCACACTACTGGCTGATCCAGAATAATATTTTATATATAATTTGGAAACTGATAAATAAGAATTGTAACGTGTCAGGTCACTGGAAGGAGGGAACATGTTTGTGTTTGTAGGGTAGATTCTCTGCTGGATAAAGACTATATATATATTTTTTTTTTTGGAGAGATTTTCACTGTAGGGCGCGTGCGCTCGCCAGACAGACAGAGAGAGACATAGAGACAGAAAGCGAGAAATCACCCCCCAGGGGGGATGGTCACGCCGCAATCCCTTCTCCTCCATTCTCCTCTCGGGATCTTGGGCACGCACGCACACGTGCCCGGCGTGAGTTTTAAGCCACCGGGTCCGGGACGTGAACCGCTGTCGACTACGTGGGAGTCCAGCGACATAGCCATTACGCTAACTGCTGGTTCCCAAGACTATATATTTTTTGGACAGGTACTGTTTAGACCCAGAGACAGGGTCCATACTCACCTTGGAGTGGCCTTTAAAGCCTTACTTTTTTTTTTTTAAATAATTATTTATTTTATTTATTCATTCACTTATTTTATTTTAATTTGACCAAAGAGAAACGACAGAGAAAGAGAGAGAGATGGAAAGTGGGAAAGCAAGTCACCAGGTCCGGGACTCTAACTGTGGTCTGCCATGTGGGAGTGTCCAGCACCTTAACCACCATGCCACCTGCTGGTCCCCAGATTTTTCAGTACAAGAATACGCCATGCCACCTGCTGATCCCTTTTTTTTTTTTTAAAGCCTTCTTTTATTTTATTTATTTAGTTTTGGAGAGATTTTCGCTATAGGGCACGTGTGCTCGCCAGACAGACAGAGAGAGACATTAGAGACAGAAAGCGAGAAATCACTCCCCGGGGGGATGGTCACTCCACAGTCCCTTCTCCTCCATTCTCCTCTCGGGATCTTGGGCACGCACGCACACACGCTTGGTGTGAGTTTTAAGCCACCGGGTCCGGGACGCGAACCGCGGTCAACTGTGTGGGAGTCCAGCAACATAGCCATTATGCTAACTGCTGGTTCCCTAAAGCTTTACTTCTTTAATGCTTGCAGATGATTGGTTCCCAAGTCTTTGAAAGCAAAGGAAGGATTTATTAAGTATTGGAGAAAGTGCCCAGTGCAGGGAGAGATGTGTGGCATGAGGTAACTGCCTTTGATGGCACCTTAAAGCTCTTGCCCTGATGGTATCTGCTGCTTATCTTGTTATAACTGGGAGAGCAAATAGGCAGGAGAAGTCGTGTTCTACCTCTTCATCCCAGTCTCACATATGATGGCTGAGTATATATGATACGAGTCACCGACCTGTTTATTCGAACCTCATTTTGAACTACTGTGAAGCTAGACTTCGTGGTGATGAAGGGAAGAAGCTGTTAGGGAAGGGAAGACATGTAGGATGGGAAAGTTGTCTCCTTTGTAGATTTCTTTTAATCACAGTTTTCCCTATGACCTTGATGCAAGGAACTCTGAAAGTTTTAATGTCTTTGACCTACATCATTTTCTGATTTTCCAGACTATTATTTTCTCTTAACTTTTAGCTGTTAGTTTAGGTGACTGCTGCATCCTCAGACTTAAAGTGCTTGTGATATAGCCGGTACTGCTACTAGACAAGAATATCCTTTTATTTCCTCAAAATTGTAGGGTAAGGATGGAGTAAAGAAGTGCTGACGGCCTGGAGACCATATAAGATAGCCATAAGGAGACTGTACCCTACTCTTCTTTATGGTTGACGAGCCATAGGCAATGAGAAATGGCAGTCGTTGCCGTTAGGTCCTTAACCAGGCTCGACTGAAGAGAAGATTGATCATTTGGAAGGCTGGTCCTGGGTGTAGCTCATTGGTTAAGTGTTGCACAGAGGAATTAATGTACACTTGAGCCTGTGAAGCATGATGCCTTTTTTTCTTTTTTCTCAGTGGAAAACTTGATGGTTAAATTTATTCATCTAAGTTAGTGTTTTGACTTAAGTTTATATTTTATACTTTTGTCTCCCATTAATATGTCTGCACTTGCTCTTTGGAAATTAACAGAGATAGTGAAAAGAGATTAAATTTTTTTATTTCAGCATCTTTAAAGTATACAACTCAGTCTCAGTTATATTTATAATAGTTGTACAACCATCACTACAATCAATAGGAATGAGAAAGTTTACACTGTGCTTTTTAGATTTTCAGTCTGGCTTTAATCATGCCTGTGGCATGACTGTGATTAACTTTGACCATTCCAACTTTTTTCCCCATTGGTTCTCAACTTCCACAGATGGAGACTGATCAAAGATTGTAAAAACATTTACTTTGAATATAATTGCACCATAGTTTAAAAAATGGCTATAGTGGATAGAGTCAAATACATCCACTTAAGGTTCTAATTAGTAAAAAAAAAATAAAGGAAGGAAATGTAGAGGAGAAGTTGAACTATTTATGGTATAACAATATCTGAACATCCCTCTAGTTATACTGTTACTACAGTCTAAATGTTTCTTGCCTCCCCCAAATGCATGTATTGAAATCCTCATCCCCAAGGTGGTGGTGGTAGGAGGTGAGGCCTCTGGAAGATATGATTAGGTTATGAAGGTCATGCCCTCATGCGTGAGATTAGTGCCCTTGGGAATGAGACCCACGGGAGCTTGTTCACCTCTTCTGCCATGTGCAGGTATAGCAGGAAGGTGCTGACTATGAAAAGGACCCTCATCAGACACCAGGTCTGCTGATACCTTGATCTGAGACTTCTTGGTTTCTAGAACTGGGGTAAATAAATTTCTGTTTATAAGCCATACAATTTATCAATAGTGCTTTATTATAGGCGGCAAAACATGCTCAGACAACTGTGAGTCATTGTGATAGTTTTTATCATTTTACCTGAATTCATAGAGGCTAATATATGTATTTATGCTATGAAATACTTTGAATCAAACTTAACATAGTTATATTTTTTATATTACAGATTCCAGATGACCTGAGGAAGAGACTAAACATAGAAATGCATGCAGTTGTCAGAATAACTTCAGTGGAAATTACCCCTAAAATTCCAAGATCTCTAAAATTACAACCTAGAGAGAACTTAGTGAGTTCAAATATATATTGCATCAAAATTCTTTTATATAAGTTGTCAAATTTTTAGTTGCTTTTTTAGATAAGTAATAAAAATTTTATGCTCCTTTTGCCAGTAGGACAAAGAAGTCTTGTATTGTGTTAAAATATAGAATGACATAAGCTATGCCATTTTAACCATTTTTTGAGCATTCAATTCAGTGGCGTTAATTACATTCATGATATTACATAGACATCGCCACTGTTTATTTCCAAAGCTTTTCCATTACCCCAAACAGAAACCGTGTGTCTACAAGGTAATAATTCTCCATCTTCTTCCCCAGCCCCTATAATGTTTAATCTATATTATATCTCTATAAATTTTCTTCTTCTTGATATTTCATATAAGTGGAATCGTATATGATTTGTTCTACATATCTGACCTGTTTCACTTAACATAGTGTTTTCACGGTTCATTCACATCGTAGCATGAATTAGAACTTCATTATTTTTATAGCTCAGTAATAGTCCATTGTATGTGTCTTGTTTATCCATTCAACTGTTCATGGACACTTGAATTGTTTGTGAATGATGCTGCAACAGACAATAGCATACAAGTATCAGTTTTAGTCTCTTTTCAATTTGTTTGAGTATCTACCTAGAGTGGAATTTTTGCATAATATATGGCAGTTTTCTTTAAATTTTTAAGAAGCTAAGAAGTCTTTAGTAAGTTATATACATATTATACATATTGTACAAACAAATGAATTATTATTATTATTATTATTTTTTAGAGAGGTTTTTGCAATAGAGCACGTGCACTTGCCGGAGAGATGGAGAGACAGAAAGTGAGAAATCACCCTCCAAGAGGGTTGGCCATCCAGTCTTCTTTCTGGATTTTGAGCACGCGTGCGTACACACACACACACACACACACACACACACGCCCAGCGTGTTTTAAGCCATCGGGTCCAGGACTCACCACAGTAAATTATGTAGGAGTCCAGCAACATAATTATTACACCATTTGCTCATCCCCACAGATAAATTCTTACGGCTTTTAAAAGATTCACTGGATTCCCACGTAGTCAACCGCGGTTCGAGTCCTGGACCTGGTGGCTTAAAGTCATGCCAGGTGAGTGTGCGTGAGTGCCCAAGATCCCGAGAGGAGAATGGAGGAGAAGGGATTGTGGTGTGACCATCCCACCTGGGGAGTGATTACTTGCTTTCTGTCTCTCTGTTTGTTATCTTTCTGGTAAGTGCACAGGCCCTATAGCAAAAACCTCTCGAAAAAAAATTAATTTAAAAATAAAGAGATAAAAGATTAATGTTTAGCCCACAGCTGTGTAATTTTTAAAAGTTTCTGTCACTTTTAAAAAAATAATTATTTATTTCATTTTATTTATTATTATTTTTTAATTTGCAATAGGACACAAGCTCACCAGAGAGAGAGAGAGAGAAATGATAAAGCAAACTGCTAGGTCCAGGACTCGAACCACAGTTAGCCATGTGGGAGTCTAGTGCCTCAACCGTCATGCCACCTGCCGGCCCCAAGTTTCTTTGACTTTTCAATGTTATTATTGTAGTCTAGAACAATGTTAGACTATTTTACTTTTCTTCTCAACTAATTCCTTGAAAACTGGTATGGTCAGGAAATGATATATTGGCCTTAATTTAAACTTTTGTAGTAGAGTATGTACTAGTTGTGTTACCAGTTCTCAAATAATTATTATTTTACTGTATTTTATTTTCAAGAAATTCTAAACATGACTTAATCTTTCTCTGATAGTTTAGATGGTACCTTTGGATCTTCAGAATTATGAAGGTCATTATGCCATGGAAGAACCAACTTAATTGCACTTTCTAGTTGATGAAACATCAGATAAGATAGCTTATATTGAAAAATTGGAGGCAAGGGAGAGTGGAATTGGAGTGGTTATAGCTGTAATAGTGCATACTGGGTGCCACTGATGCCACAGGGGAGGCCCAGGTTCAATTCCCAAGTCACCCTGAACAGTCAGCAAGGTGTGATGCATACCTGTAGTCCCAGGTGTTCCAGAGTCTGAGACAGGAGGATTTGGAGCTCACAGCCCGCGTGGGCAAATCTGGCGAGACTCTGTCTGAAAGGGCCAAGTGGTCCCTGCTACTTGGAGGCTAAGGTGGGAGCATCACAACATAGTGAAACCTTGTCTGAAGAGGAAAACACCACACCCACACATGCAGACTAGCTTATCTGATCTCACTAGAGAAGGAGAAGACAAGTAGAATAAATGTCATCTGTAACAGTGTACAACTGAGCATTTAACATGTTGGCCATGTAATACACAGTGATTTAATGATTTCTTGTTTTATTTAAACTTTTTGGCTATAGATCTAGATCTTTTAGTTTTTGCTATAGGGTGCTTGTGCTCACCAGAAAAAGAGAGAGAGACAGAGAGAAAATACTCCTCAGGGAAGATGACGACCCTGCAATCCTTTCTTCTCCATTCTCCTCTTGAGATTATTTTTTTTCTTTTTTTGGAGAGGTTTTTGCTTTGGGCGGGTGCGCTCGCCAGACAGAGAAAGACAGAGAGACAGAGAGCAAGAAATCACTCACCAGGGGGGATGGCCACGCCGCAATCCCTTCTCCTCCATTCTCCTCGGGATCTTGGGCACACACGCACACACACCTGACGTGAGTTTAAGCCACCGGGTCTGGGACTTGAACCGTGGTCGACTACGTGGGAGTTCAGCGACATAGCCATTATGCTAACTGCTGGTCCCTCCTCTTGAGATTTTGAGCACATATGCACATGTGCCAGCCATGTTTTCAAGCTGCTGGGTCCAGAACTCTTCTAATCACTCAGTCGGCCATGTGTGATCCAGCATCTTAACTACCACACCACTGGCTGGCCTGGTGTAGGTAGTTTTTAAATAATAGGTTCTTTATGTAAAAATATAATTAACCACTGGATATTGCTAAAGGATTCCTTTCGTATCTGAACTTCCATATTTCAGTGGAAGATTTATGATCTGTGACAGGTGTCTCTGTCCTGAGACCTGGGATATGAGGATGTTTGTAGAGGAACTGTGAATTGCTTTGTGATTCCAAAATTTTTTATTTTTTTATTTGTTTTTTAATATTAGCTTTTTAAAAAGTATTTATCTATTTAATTTATTATTACTTTTTTAATTTGACCAGAGAGAGAAAAGGAAAGCAAGAAAGCATGCTGCCAGGTCTCGGACTTGAACTGAGATTGGTCATGTGGGAATCCAGGGCCTTTAACCACCACACCACCTGCTGGCCCCCAATTTTTAAATTTTACAGAGTTCTCATTTTCATGTTTTTACTTTAGTTAGGTCTTTAATCTCATTGCCCAAAAATAGCCAAAGAAGTAACTAATTCTTTTTTTTAAAACAATTCTTTTATTTAACTTTATTTATTATTATTATCATTATTATTTTCCAGTTTGATCAGAGAGAGAGAGAGAGGAAATGAGAAAGCAAACCACCAGGTCCGAGACTTGAACCATGGTCAGCCATGTGGGAGTCCAGCACCTTTAACCACTATGCCACTTGCCGACCCCAGAAGTAACTAATTCTAACAGTGGGAAAAGGATTCCTTTTCTTAGTTTCATCTGCTTTAGGTAGTAACTAAGTCAGAACCGAGCTTAGTCAGCCAGATCCAAGTCTATCTCTGGATGAAGAGAGATAATAGAAATGTACCAGTCTGAGAAATGGGAGAATGGAGGTTTATTTTACTAGGCAGGTACTAAGCATCTTTTCTATTTGAATTTTTGTTATTCTAATTTTTAACCTCCCAATAGGTTAAAAAAGCATTAATTTAAAAACTGTAAAAAATCAGTGATTTTTAAAGAATTTTTTCATACCTTTGAATGATTTATTAATACTCTATGTACCAAATATATTGGAACTCTGGTCAGCTTAACAGAAAAAATGACAAAGAAAAGAAATAATGGCTTAAACATATAAAGGATTTATTTTTCTCATGTAAAGGAAATCTGAAGGTGCTCATAGGTGGTTAAACCATATCATCGAAGATCTAGTCTCCTTTGACCTTTCTTCTCTGCTGTCCTTAGCCTATGATTTTCCTCCTCTTAAATGCATGATGTTTGTGGTACTGATGGGAACATCGCATTTGTATTCCAGGAAGCAGAAGCTAGGGCACAAGGGAAAATCTTACATGGTTTCTTGACCCTTAACTAGGAAGAGAGGCCTTTCCCAGCAATTGCTGATTGCATTTAATTGACCAGAGTAAACACACACACACACACACACACACAGAGCGCTAGGCTAGGAATGGAAGATTTTCCTTTCCTGTCTCTATAGTAGAAGGAGGCAAGGGAGAATGAGATTGGACTGGTTATTGAGTGAGCCAAATTATCATATGTGCATTTCTGGACATAGAGAAAAAGTGCATTCAAGACTTTGCCACTTACATAAATGTTTCTTCGGGCCATACTGTATTTTTTTTTTTTTTTAGAAAGAGATTTTTGCTGTAAGTTGCATGTGCTTGCTGGAGAGACAGAGAGAGCCAGAAAGACTGAAAGTGAGAAATCAGCCCCCAGGAGGGCATGGCCACTCAGCAATCCCTTCTCTTCCATTCATTCTCCTCTCAGGATCTTGGGCACGCACGCACACACGCACTTGGTGTGTTTTAAGCTGCTGGATCTGGGACTTGAACCGTGATCTACTACGTAGGAATCAAGCGATGTAACTGTTAAGCCATCTGCTGGTCCCTATACTTACTGTCTTAACTGAAATGTCAAGCCTCAAATCTGTGTCTATAAACTATGAATATACTTCACTGGTGTTGTTTGGGGATATTTATGTTTATTAGGAAGATAAGATGTTAAAGTAAGGGTGTTAACAAGTTAACTTCAGATATTGGGATAATTCATTACTATTCTTTGTTTTCTCTGGCAGCCTAAAGATACAAGTGAAGAAGACATAAAAGCTGCATTCCACTCATGGGTACAGCAATGTTCCACCACCACGCTTCCTTTGGTAGTGTCAGAAGAGGAATATATTAAGCTGGTAATTAAAAATGGTGGGTTAATTTATTTGTTATTTTAGCATTTTTCCCCATAATCATAACATTTTTTATTGTTTTTCCGACCTATGACACATGTAATTTAAGTAAGTTTGGTAAATAACATCTTAAATGATTTTATCTTAGTACTATTCATTTCTTTCTTTCTTTTTAATAGAATTGGTGGCGTTTTCTCTACATATAGTTCATTCTTGGGAAAAAGAAAAAGAAAAAAATATTTTCCTGTTGAGTACCAGTCTGCTGCAGAGGACCACAATACAAGTAATTCCATACTATGGAGTATTTAATAAAATGGCATTTGTTACATGTGATTGATAATAAAGTATGAGTTTCCTTGTAGTCTACAATATATTAGATACCTGAATGATAAGAGTAAGGAATAACTTGATTTAAAATATTTTATTTTATAATCTCTAAATTATATAAATTATTGATTTATCCTAAATTTTAAAATCAATGTCTCAGTACAGTGAAGTTTCAAGAATAGAGATGATTGGGTTAACTGGCAACCAAATCAGAATTTGAAATTCTTTTAGCATTGAAACAAGGAAAAACTGAGGTTTAGGGGTTTGATTTCTTTCTTTCTTTCTTTCTTTCTTTCTTTCTCTCTCTCTTTCTCTTTCTTTCTTTCTTTCTTTTGCCATAGGGGTGCACTCATGGGAGAGAGAGAGAGAGAAACAGTGAGAGACAAAGTAAGACATCACCCCCCCACCCCAGGGATATAGCCATACCACAATCCCTTCTCCACCATTCTCCTTCTGGGATTTTGGGTGTGCACACACATGTGCCTGGCCTGAGTTTCAAGCTGCCAGGTCTGAAACTCAAAACCACAGTCAGCCATGTGGGATCCAGCTCCTTAACTACAGTGCCACCTGCTGGCCCCAGGGAGTTTGCTTTTTAAGTCATACAGTTTTGCTGTACAAATTCATAATTTTTGGCAGTTCTTAAATTCTCAGCTCCTCTCAAATGTTACCATTTCATTTTTTTCCAGAAATACTTGGATTTTTTTGGCCGTATTTTGGTTACAGTATTCATTCTTGTCATTATAGAATTAAAGATGCTGTGTGGCTGGCAGGTGTGTTGGTTAAAGTGCTAGACTCCTACATGGGCTGACCAAGGTTTGAGTCCTGGACCTGGAAGCTTGCTTTCTCTCTCTCTCTCTCTCTCTCTCTCTCTCTTTCTCTCTCTGTTTCTCCCTGGTCAAACCGAATAATAATAATAAATTAAATAATCATTTTTAAAAAAGAAATAAAGATGCTATAGTTGTTTAGAATTACAGTAGTTAGGGACCAGCAGATGATGTAATGGTTACATCGCTGAACTCCCATGTAGTCGACCACAGTTTGAATCCTGGACCCAGCAGCTTAAAACTCACACTGGGCACATATGCATGTGTGCCCAAAATCCCAAGAAGAGACTAGATGAAAAGGGACTGTGGCATAGCCACCCCCCCCAGGGCCATGATTTTTCGCTTTCTGTCTCTCTGTCTCTGTCTCTGTGGTACGTGCACACACCCTATCGCAAAAATGTCTCTAAAACAAAAAGAAGAATTTCAGTGGTTAGACATTGATTTTTGCTTTTGAAAATAGAATCATGTGTCACTTAATGACAGGGATACATTCTGAGAAGTGTGTCGTTGGTTGATTCCACCACAGTGTACACACTGTAGAGTATTTACACTGTACATGCAGGTGAGACCGCCACTACTCAGCTAGGCAGAGCCTGTGTGTTTCTTTTTTTTTTTTTTTTTTTTTTGTGAGTGGAAATTGCAGGAGTTGTTTTTGTTTAAGAGATTTTTGCTATAGGGCACATATGCTCGCCAGAAAGACAGAGAGGCAGAGAGACAGAAAGCGAGAAATCACCCCCTAAGGGAGGATAACCACGCCGCAATCCCTTCTCCATTCTCCTCTCGGGATCTTGGGCACACACGCACACACATGTGCCGAGTGTGAGTTTAAGCCACCGGGTCTGGGACTCGAACCATGGTCGGCTACATGGGAGTCCAGAGACATAGCCATTATGCTAATTGCTGGTCCCGAGCCTGTGTGTTTCTTAGGGAACACTGTTGTGTATGCAGTCCATTGTTGACTGAAATGTCATTACACTGCTTATGACTGTATAATTGAAAGAATACCACTCAGAGAAGAGACAAAGTAATTGTGAAAAGAATAAATGTGGTACAAATCAAAGTTGCAAATAAAGATATAGCTATAAAATGTATTAAAGAGATGCCTTTTTTTCTGCTTGCTAACCATATTTACTGAGTGAGAAAATTGCTCTTGTCAAGGCTATTTTAAGTAATGATCTTGCATGCGTAATTATCTGTTCTTTCTTGTGTAACAGAATCAGCAATTCAGTTTTCTGGGTCCCTAGAGCAACAGGCAAAGACATAACTTTGAAATGTAAAACTAATTTCTCCTTGCTACTGTAGGTCCTTCTAGATCCTATGGTAAAAGAAGAAAACAGTGAGGATATTGACTTTATTCTTCCTTTTTTAAAGCTGAACTCTTTGGGGTAAGAAGTTATGACCAAAATAGCATGATTAGAGATATGTTTTGACATTACCTCTGGCAGGATTTTTATGTGTAAATATTAATGTCAGTGAGTGATCGTGCTATTGCATTAATAGATACTTTCAAGAATCGTCTCTGTCTCACAACTGGTTTAGTAATTTACTTTGTCTTAGATAACTCAAAGTCTGAAGCTTATTTGAAATTATACTTTAAGAATTGGTTTGTAAGAAGAAAGCAATCACTACCACCTGGTTCATATGTGCTTGAATAAAACAATAATTAGAGGAACTAGATGTGTTTTAAAAGTGAAATCTAAAAACAGATGAATGATTAAAAATATTTCGAATTAAGTTATTCCTTCACTATCTTGTTACTGTAATAATTGGTATTATTTGTATTTCATCACCTTCAGACAAACAAATCTTAAAAAGAACCTCCTTTTAATTTCTTTATTTCTTATACAATATAAGAAACTAGTATAACTATTATCTCTTGGAATTCTTCACAGAGGCTTTGGTAGATGTAGTAGTAAGATGATTTCCTTTAATAGTATAACCTGTATATATGTTTTAGTAAAAGGACTAAATATGAAGTAAAAATGGGCCAGCAGGTAACGTGGTGGTTAGAGTGCTGGACTCCCATGTGGCTGACCGTGGGTCACATCTCAGGCCTGGCGGCGTGCTTTCTCACTTTCTCTTCCTGTCCCTCTAGTAAAATTTAAAAAATAATAAATAAATTTGGCTAAGTAAAAAATAATTCTAAAAAATATATATATGTATATATATATTTTTTTTAAATAAAGTTAAAATGTTTAAATATAGTACAGTCTTCATTAATTTAAAGTAATATCTATTCAGGTTCCAATTTTTTTTGAGAGAGATTTTTCCTAGAGGGCACATGTGCTCACCAGAGAGACAGAGAGAGACAGAAAGCGAGAAATTACCCCCCAGGGAGGATGGCCACACCCCAGCCCCTTCTTCTCCAGTGTCGTCTTGGGATTTGGGGCATACATGCACACATGCCCAGCATGAGTTTTGAGTCTCCGGGTCCAAAATTCAAACTGCAGTCAACTACGTGGGAGTCCAGTGATGTAACCGTTACGCCGTCTCTTAGTCCCCAGACTCCTATTTTAGGAGTTTATTATTATATTTCTATTATAAATAAAGTGACAGAATCAAGAAGCAGGTTAAAATTCATGTTTGTATCATCTGCAAACTGAAACCGGATTTCAAAGGTGCCATTTAAGAAGCAGTAGTCTTTGATTATCCTAAGTACTTCAAAAGTGCCCATTTATAACTATATTAATTGACAAACTGAAAATCATTCAGGCAGGGAGCTATTTACATGTGTTAAGACAGATTCTTTCTTTTTTCTTTTTTAAAAAGAATTATTTTATTTAATTTTATTTATTCATTCATTTATTTTAATTTGACCAGAGAGAAACAGAGAGAGAGAAAGGGAAAGTGAGAAAGCAAGCCACCAGATCCGGGACTTGAACCATGGTTGGCCACGTGGGAGTGTCCAGCTCCTTATCCACCACACCACCTGAGGGTCCCCCAGACAGATTCTTTAGGATGTTTTACTAGTACCAGACTTTTAGTTACTGAACGTTTGGAAGTAACAAAACTGATTTTGAACACTGTGAATCAGATTTGGCATTAATATACTTTCATGTAAGGGAGAAATTTCTGAGATTTTAGTCTTTTAAAATTCACAACTTGGGAGGCCAACAGGTGGCATAGCGGTTAAGGCACTGGACTCCCATGTGGTCGACAGCAGTTTGAGTCCCAGACTCAGTGCCTTGAAACTCAGGTCAAGTACGTGTGCGTGTGTGCCCTAGATCCCAAGAAGAGAATAAAGGAGAAAGGATTGTGGCATGACCATCCCCCTGGGGGTGATTTCTCGCTGTCTCTCTGTCTCTCTTTAACTCTCCAGCGAGTGGACGTGCTCTGTAACAAAAATTTCTCCAAAAATTTCACAGCTAAGGACCAGCTGTGGTGTGGTGGTTAAGGTGCTGAACTCTCCACATGGCTGACCACAGTTCGAGTCCCAGACCTATTGGCTTGAAACGTGCTGGGCATGTGTGTGTACATGCCCAAGATCCCAGAAAGAGATGGAGAAAGGATCGTGGTGTGGCCATCCCCCCTTGGGGATGATTTCTCACTTTCTGTCTCACTGTCTCTCTGTCCAGTGAGTGCATATGCCCTATGACAAAAACCTAAAAAAAAACCAAGTTACAGCTAGATTGGGAAAGAAAGTTTCAACATTTTTTATAGCTCGATTTTATCCAGTTTCCGTCTTGTATCACATGACGACTTAAATATTTTGCAGAGGAGTGGATTCCTTAGGCCTGTCCTCCATGGAGCACATTACTCACAGCCTCCTGGGACGCCCCTTGTCCCGGCAGATGATGTCCCTCGTGGCAGGACTTAGGAACGGAGCCATTTTGCTCACAGGAGGAAAGGTATGTTGTGGAAATGTGCTCATTTTCACTAATGAATAGCTTTCAATTGCTCTCTTTGGGGTCTGATCGTCTATGAAAGTGAATATACAATAAGAAAAGCTTTCATTCATTCACTAATGTTTTTGTGTGCTTACTATTCAGTATTAGGCAAGTGATGATATATAAAACTAATGTTTTCCTTGTCCTTTTTTCTGGGTTTATTTATATGATATATATAGATATATAGATATAGATATAGATATACACACACACACACGCACACACATACTTATATACATATACATACACACACATAGATACATATACAAGCGACGTAACCATTATACCATCTGCTGGTCCTTCTACTATGACTTCTTTTTTTTTTTGGAGAGGTTTTTGCTATAGGGCGCGTGCACTCACCAGACAGAGACAGAGAGATAGAATGTGAGAAATCACCCCCCAGGGGGGATGGCCACACCGCAATCCCTTCTCCTCTATTCTCCTCTTAGGATCCTGGGCACGCACGCACACGCGCCCAGCATGAGTTCAAGCCACTGGGTCTGTGACTCGAACTGCAGTCGGTTACATGGAAGTTCAGCAACTTAGCCATTATGCTAACTGCTGGTCCCCCTCTACTATGACTTCTTACCATTGCTATTTGTCCAGCTCTAACAGACATGCCCCAACAATGTGTGATAAAGAATGTACACTATAATCGATTGGACTTGTTACAGGGATGCAAAGCTGGTTCAACATTAGGAGATCAACCAACTCTATCAATACCTTATCAATCACTAACCTGAAAAATATATATGTGTATCAGCGCCCTTTAATCACCATACCACCTGCCAGCCCCCCCCACCTGTATTCATTTTTTAATGTTTATTTATTTTTTGAGAAAGAGAAAGACAGAGAGAGGGAGAGACACACACTCCAGGTATCCCTGACAAGGTTGCACTGTAACACAATCCTCCTGGCCCAGCTGTCAGCCAGCCAGGATGACAGGTGCACTGTGACATACCCGGTGTGTACTGATCATCCCAGGATCTGAACCCGTTCTCCTTCGGGCAATTTCTTACTTTCTTGCTGTCTTTCTCTTTCTGGTGAGCACACATCCTCTATGGCAAACACCTAAAAAAAAAAGAAAAAGTTAATTTAAGATAATATAGAAATGGGTAATAAATTGTTTCTGTTCTCCCAGAATGGTAGTGTGCACTGATAGATGCTGCACTCGGTAAGCTGAGGCCATGTGTACCCATGTGAGTTTGATTCCTGCCTCACCCTAAAAGCTGAGCATTGTGGTACAAGTCTATATCCCAGCTACACAGGAGGATGTAGGAGGACTTCAACAATGCAAGACCCTGCCAAAAATAAATAAATTCCATGTAAAATAGTTGAAATGGAGCCAATAGGTGGCATGGTGGTTGAGGTGCTGGACTCATACATGGCCGACCGCGGTTCAAGTCCTAGACTAGGCAGCTTGAAAAACCATACTGGGACGATGTCCATATATGCCCAAATAGACAAGAAGAGATTGTGGCATGGACCATCCCTCCGGGGGGTGATTTCTCACTCTCCCTCTTTCTGTCTTTCTCCAGTGAGCACATGTACCCTATGGTGAAAACCTAAAAAGAAAAACATTAAATTAAATGGAGATAGTTTCATTTATCTAGAAAAGTTAATTTTTATATTATTCCTTTCTAATAAAATGAAGCATTAATCATTTTTAAAGGTTGAAGATTTAAATATTAGTGATTGTTTTTCTAATTAATTGTAATACATTAGATATTTATTTTCTATGTATGTACTGTAATGCACATAGGATTTAACCAGTTCCTAGCACATTAGCAACCTGAAGGAAGAACTCTATTTCAGTAGACCTACTGAAATAACGCACCATTGTAGAGTGCTGCTGCTTTTGGTTTAAGAGGTTTGCCTGAGGGTGCATGCTTGCACTGGAGAGAGAGACACACATAGACACAAACAGTGAGAGGGAAAGTGAGAAATCACCCCTTGGCGTGGGGGGGCGGCCATGCCACAATCCCTTCTCCATCCTCCTCCCAGGATCTTGGGCATGAACACACATGTGCCTGGTATGATTTTCAAGCCATCAGGTCCAGGGCTCGAACTGCAGATGGTGATGTGGGAACCCAGTGACATAGTCACTACACCATCTGCTAGCCCCATAGAGTGCTTTACAAATGTGAATTATCTTGAGTCAGGAGAAAAGACTCTCTAACTAGGTAAGTGGTGATCACAGGTGGGGCCTATGCCCCCGCACTCCTAATTTCTTTATTTTCTGAAGTCCATTAACTGTGAACATATGTGAAGTTCCATACACTATAATGGTGTATTCGCGGGGTGCCTTCTAAATTTCAGACTTTGCACATCAAGCAAAGAGAGCCATATTTCACTTATTCCTGTGCACCCACCCGGCAGCTAGACTGCTGCGTACTGACTGACTGATCAGCTGAATCTCGGTGGTTGCCACAACGAAGCTGTTTCCAAGACTGCATGTATTGGGAGTTTCTAAGAAGCAATTATTTTCTAGGGAAGTGGAAAATCAACTGTAGCCAAAGCAGTGTGTAAAGAGGCCTCTGACCTGTTGGATGCCCACGTGGAGATAGTTGACTGTAAAGCTTTGCGAGGTATGAGTATGGTCATAAATCTTATTTTAGTAGAAAGAACGTTTTTATTGACTGCTGTTAATCTAATGAATACAAATATTTGGTCTTTATTTAACTTTTCTGTTTTATCATTTACTCTTAAAATTCCTTGGAAATTTCAGCGTCTTTGGTTCTCATTTTTTTTTTTTTTTGGAGAGGTTTTTGCTATAGGGTGTGTGCACTCACTAGACAGACAGAGACAGACAGAGAGACAGAAAGTGAGAAATCACCCCCCAGGGGGCATGGC